GCATTGAGGTCCATAGACAGATTAAATTAGTTTGATTGATAGTGTTACAGGGCTGCTGCTTATTTCACAGCTATTGCTATTTTTTTTTAGTTAGCATATTTAATTAACTAATCAAAGGTTAAGAGTTTGTAGCATGAGTTGTAAGTATGTATTTCTTTCTTTAGTTCTGGCACGTGTTGTTTAGTATGCTTTGACCCTCTGTTGTAAAATTCATGTACATCCAATGTTTTCATGATGGTTTTTTTGATGATTTCACCCTTTTTCACCATGAAAACTAATTTATCTAATTTATTGTCAAGGCAGTCTTTTGTGCTCAGCATTTTTATGACAAAATTTTCCAGCCTCTGAATTGTTTATATCTTTATTTTAAAAGTATATGTGCTTTTTTTCTTAAATGTTTTATGGGTGGATGCAGCTATTTTAGGCATAATAATATTCTTTTTTAAAAAACTTTACATTCTATTATGTTTGAAATTTTTGATATATTTTAAGATTAAGCACAGCACTTTGGTATACATTTTATATTTTCCCAGTGGGTTGATTATTTCCCTATTTCTTCCATGCTAGTGTACTTATTTCATTTTATGTTGTTGAGACTGAGATGAATTTTTCTTAGTCTTTGCCTGTATATATTTATGTTCCTATTATTTTTATTGGATATAAAAATAGAGTTCATTAAGTTTCCTACTCTCATTCTGAATTACAAAGAGTATGGTTATTTTCCCATATGTAATGACTTTCTCTCTCTCTCTCTCTCTGTCTCGCTCTCTGTGTGTATGTCTTCTATTTTTATATTTAGTTTTCAGCAACATACTCTTTCATCTACATATAATTGTCTTTGTAGAAAATTATATGTAGATGAAATGGCCTGTTTATATCACTAATGTCATCAATTCTGGAAACTTCTCAACTATTATTGCTTCAAATGTTTCTTCTGCCTCATATTCCCTCTCTATCTCTCTCTGTCTATTCATCCATCCATCCCTCTCTTCTTTCTCTTTTATTCATAGTTCCAGTTATGATTGTGTTAGATTTTAATATTTTCCCTATAATCTCAAACTTTTTATACTGTCCTTTAATGTTTTTTGTTTGCCTAAGATTAATTTCTCTTCCAATTAATTTGTCTGCAAGTCCAATGATAACTTTTTTCTGCTTTGTCTAATTTTCTGTTAGGTATATTTAATGATTTTTTTATCATTTAGAGCATTCTAAACAATTTAGAAATTATTTCCACATTTCATCTCAATTTCTTAATCTTATATGTTTCCTAAGTTTTCACTAGATACTTCAGTATTCTTATTAAAGTATTATATTCTTCATTGTAATTTTAACATTTAGGGTGTCTTTGTGTCTGTTTCTGTTCGTTTCTATATGGAAAGTTGGCCAACTTTTCTTGCTTTTACAGGTCTTTTGGGAATTCTAATTTTATATGAAATATTTTTATGAAGCAGAGGATGAAATAACATATATTTTTAAAAAATAGGATGATATCTGTTTCCTTTCAGTCTGAGAACGGGGACTGAATCTATAAGTTCAGCAGTTAACCTGTGTGGTTGGTAGCAACATCCTTGTGATTCAGTTCACCACAGTTTCAAGGGGCTTGAGGAGATCTGGCAATTTTCTATTTAGTAAGACCTGGTGTCTGAGTCCTACATTGGCTTCAAAGTTTTACCTCTATTTTTTCAGTTAAATCACCTGATTTCCAAACTTATAGAAATGTCACCCTGCTCTAAGACTGTTGCTGCCTACATTTCTTGAGAGAGATCTTTGATCTCAAATCTCACAGGTGACTTTGTTTATGGCTGCGGTTACTTCACAGTCTACAAAGGTTTTAGATTTCTTCTAGGAAACTTTCTCAGATGTTGAATGCCTCTCTAGGTATTATTCTATGTTGATAAATATCAGTATAAAAAGGGATTGAGCTTATCTCTTCTTCCCTTAGTCTTCTATAGAGGATATATATGAGTAGCTTTTTTTTTTCTTTTCATTTCCCCCTCCCTCTCTTCTGCTTTTTTTTCTTTCCTTTCCTAAAAAAAAAAAAAAAAAAAAAAAAAAAGGAAAGAAATAAAGGAAGGAAGGAAAGAAGGAAAAAAAGTAAGGTTGCCTGAGGGCTAAACCTTGTTTCTTTATTTATTGTGGTGAAGGGGATTGAACACAGGCCCTACCCCCGCTAGACAAGCACTTGAACACTGAGCTATAATCCCAGTCCTACCTGCAGGTTTTCTTTCCTTCTTCAATTCTTTGTTGTCTAGAAATATGGACCAACGGAGGGAAATTTTACCTGTTCTCTTTCCATGCCTATATTTTTAAGCTAATATGCTCAAGATTTAATGAAGACCCGTGTGAATGAGCTAGAGTTTAATACTTCTTTACTATGCCACCCTGCACATGATTCTGAAAAGTTTATTTATATATAAGCAGGTTTTTGTTCACCTTAATTTATGCTAGATAGGCCATTTATTTCCTTTTCTGTTGTGAGATAGGAGGACTGTTACTTCTTAAATATAGGTACTTTCACTTTCTTTGTATTCACCTGGCACAGTGGCACATGCCTATAATCCCAGCTACTATGGAGGCTGAGGCAGGAGGATCTCAAGTTTGAGGCCATCATCAGCAACTTATAAAGATCCTGTCTCAAGATAAAAAAATAGAAAGTGCTGGTGTGTAGCTAGTAAGAGCTCCTCTGGGTTCAATCTCAGTACCTAAATAAAATCTAAAAAATTTATTTGCCCTCACAGCATTATGATGTTATTCTTCCTTAAGAATATGATGTTTTGCTTATTCAGCTTGTTTTTGTTTTTAAGGTGACACTGGTTGCCTCTTTGAATTTCTACACCTCTACCAGAAATATTGTTTAAATGCCTAGTAAAACATGACAAAAATATTCATACTTACCTACAGATAATGTCATTTCCATTGTTCTTCATCTGTTTATAGAGATTGATGTTTCTTCTATCTGATATAGGTTTTCCTCAGTCTAAAGAAATGATTGTTTACATTTCTTTAGATCCTGCTAGTCATGAAACTCTTCAATAATATCTTGAAATATCTCCAATAATATTTTTATTGTATTTTAATCTTTTATAGAAAGACAGTCTTTCCAATGTTTGGGCATTTCTTTTTTCTTGTAGCACTTTAATGATGCTTTCAGTGTCTTCCATCTTGCTTTGTTTATAAAGAGGAGTTAGTAAGGTATCAGCAGTTACTTTTACTTTGTCCACCTCACCTTATTATAATCTTTTACTTCTGTGTATGCTTTTAAGGGTCTTTCCACTGTACATGGAAATCTACAATTTGATAATAATGTGTCCCGATATGGTTTTGGTTGAACTTGGATTTATAGTTGTTGTTGTTGTTGTTAAATTTTACTTGGAAGCTTGTTTTTCAAATGTATTTCTGCCCCGCTGCCTTTTGCTGTCAATCCAGTTATGTTCACGTTGACTTCTTAAGATTGTTCTACATATCACTGGATTTTTGTTCGCTTTTCTGTCATTTTCTTTTTAAGATCCCTGTTTACAGTGATCCACATCTATTTCCCTAACTCCACCTACCTAGACCACTGGAACTTTTTATTTGATAACTTCCACCTTCTTGGGGTTCTGCTTCACAAATGCAGGCCACCAAGGCTCTGCACTCCAATCTCTGCCTCTTCAGGTTAATAGGACTGATCTTGTTTGCCTTGTCTTGCCTCCTTGAACCATAGCTTAGAAGGTGTATCCTGAAGAAAGTAGAAAGTTCTTTTTTTAAAAAAAAAAAAAAAATTCACTGTCTCATGGATCATGGTTCTGTGCTTAGTTATTTCCAATGTCTAAAAACTGTTGTTTTATATATTTTACACATTTGTTTGCTATTCATTTTGGAAAGGCTATTTCAATATTAGTTGTTCTCTCATGAACAGAAGCCTATTTGTTGAGAATAATAATTCTTATTAATTATTAGCATACTTCATAGTGTATGAAATAATTCTGAATTATAAGAGAGTTTTCATTTAGAAAACTTAAGTACAATATTACTAGACTAATTGTAAATTCTTATTTATATTCAATTAAAAAGTTGGATGATTTTCTACAGCTATTTTCACTCTGGGTATTTAAAACACAGTGTGTGATACTTTTCAATTATATTTCTGTTGCTACTTTTATTTGGGGGTTTAATTTCAATATCATATAATTAAGATCAAAGTGGAAATGGAAATTAAGTATTTATTATTTTTAAAATTAAATTAGAAATTGCTAATGTTTTAAAAGAAGAAAACCAGAATGTGATATCAATTTAATCACAAGCATTTTAATAAAGGCTTTCCATAAATTATCTCCAAAAATTCATATTTTTAATTAACAGAATGTTCTAATATTTAGGGAACTTGTTGATTTTGTAGTAAGTTTTCAACCTTGTTATTTTGAGAATTAAAATCTTGTGTTTTGAGATACAACATAATGGTTGTATGGTAGTATGAGTAAATAATGGATAAATTATTGAACATACTTCAAAAATATGCTACAAGTTCAATTTCATGGCAAATACTACCTTTTATTGTTTCTATTTATGATAGTGAATCAAACGACTTGCAAATCCTTTGGTACACCACTAATCTTTGGAACTTACATGACTTAAAAGGGGTTCTTTGGGACTTATGGAGTTTTTTCCCTGAACCCTAGCTCTCTAATATGGGTTAAATGTGTCTGTTTTGTGTACCCATGGATTATCCTGGACATATTTTTTAAATGGCACTTAATTTACAGAATTATAGTAATCAGATCAGATTTTATTTTATTTTTCCGATTTGACTTTAAATCTTATGAAATTGTGAATATTATATAATTCATCCTTAGTGCCCATTATAGCCTCTAGTGCAGAACAGATATTTAATAGTCACTTGTTTTAAAAAAAACATAAAATTATTTTTGTATTCCAATTTGAATAAAATATTATTCAGGTAGAAATAAGAACATCACTAAAATGATTAGATACTAACACTATATTTTTATCTTATCTTACAGGTTCTTAAATCTGATCTACAATGGAAAAATTTCTTTTTTATCTGTTTTTCATTGGCATAGCAGTGAGAGCTCAGATCTGTCCAAAGCGTTGTGTCTGTCAGATTTTGTCTCCTAATCTTGCAACCCTTTGTGCCAAGAAAGGGCTTCTATTTGTTCCACCAAACATTGACAGAAGAACTGTGGAACTGCGTTTGGCAGACAATTTTGTTACAAATATCAAAAGAAAAGATTTTGCCAATATGACCAGCTTGGTGGACCTGACTCTATCCAGGAATACAATAAGTTTTATTACACCTCATGCTTTTGCTGACCTACGGAATTTGAGGGCTCTGCATTTGAATAGCAACAGATTGACTAAAATCACAAATGATATGTTCAGTGGGCTTTCCAATCTCCATCATTTAATATTGAATAACAATCAACTGACTTTAATTTCTTCTACAGCATTTGATGATGTGTTTGCCCTGGAGGAGCTGGATCTATCCTACAATAATCTAGAAACTATTCCTTGGGATGCTGTTGAGAAGATGGTTAGTTTGCACACCCTTAGCTTGGATCATAATATGATTGATAACATTCCTAAAGGGACTTTCTCCCACTTGCACAAGATGACTCGGCTAGATGTAACATCAAATAAATTGCAGAAGCTACCACCTGACCCTCTCTTTCAGCGAGCTCAGGTCCTAGCAACCTCAGGAATCATAAGTCCATCCACATTTGCACTGAGTTTTGGTGGAAACCCCTTGCATTGTAATTGTGAATTGCTGTGGCTAAGGCGTTTGTCCAGAGAAGATGATCTGGAGACCTGTGCTTCTCCTGCACTTTTAACTGGCCGCTACTTTTGGTCAATTCCTGAGGAAGAGTTTTTGTGTGAGCCTCCCCTCATTACTCGTCATACACATGAGATGAGGGTCTTAGAGGGACAAAGGGCAACGCTAAGGTGTAAAGCCAGGGGAGACCCTGAACCTGCAATTCATTGGATTTCTCCTGAAGGGAAGCTTATTTCAAATGCAACAAGATCGCTGGTGTATGATAACGGAACACTTGACATTCTCATAACAACTGTAAAAGACACAGGTGCTTTTACCTGTATTGCTTCTAATCCTGCTGGGGAAGCCACACAAACAGTGGATCTTCATATAATTAAGCTCCCTCACCTATTAAACAGTACAAATCATATCCATGAGCCCGATCCTGGTTCCTCAGATATCTCAACTTCTACTAAGTCAGGTTCTAATGCAAGCAGTAGTAATGGGGACACTAAAATGAGTCAGGATAAAATCGTGGTGGCAGAAGCAACTTCGTCTACAGCACTACTTAAATTTAATTTTCAAAGAAATATTCCTGGAATACGTATGTTTCAAATTCAGTACAATGGTACTTATGATGACACCCTTGTTTACAGGTAAGAAAAACTTAAGTAAATTTAAACAGCAACCATGCATCTTTGTGTAAGGCTTATTAATGTACTCCTGATGCTTTCAAATTGGCAATGTTATTCTGTGTTGTAATTACAATTCTCAGTTTTAAAGTGCATAATGTAAAGCTTGAAATGTGGTGGATATATATGGGGAAATCTTCTGAATGGTGTTATTTTTAAAGAGTTCAAATTTATATTTAATATTATGCTTATTTTTTTCACCTCATCTAAGAGATGTGACTATCAGAGAAAAAGATTGATTTAAGTTAAAAATTCAAAAACATACCAGAACTTACACATCCACATGAGTGTTCTTTCCTTCAAGGAAGTCACGTTGGGAGGCTATACCATTATCCCAATGATGCTGCCATTGCTCAAAGCACTTTTGGAATTATCTTTAGAACCTTCGTCATACTATTTTGAATATACCCAGTGGTGGCAAATCTTCGTCTTTTGAGGGTGAATTTGAATTTTGGAAACAAGCAAAAGCCATTTGGAGTCAAGTCTTGTGAATAAGGTGGGTGATCAAGATGGATATTGCCATTTTTGGTCAAAAATAGGATGTAACTATAAAATAATGAGACTGATTCTTTGAATAATTGAGTCATGTGCATGGGTGTTGTCTCATGTGCACTGGTTCTTAAGACAGTTCCAAAGAGATAATTTATAAATAATTTGAGCAGTGAAGGTATCACTGGAATTAAGTATACAATATCTGGGTTAGGACAGTGATGGAGAATTTGCATCTGCTGATGAATTTCTGGTATGTTTTTCTAAAGTTCAGCCTCATTGATTTATAGTCACATCTTGTCCAATTTTCAGTTGGAAATACTTATTCCTTCCTATAATTTCACTGGTGATAGGCTGTTACTGCTCTTTGGAAAAGATGCAAAATTATGATTTTGAAAGGATTATTGTTTTGTTTTTAAGCTTTTCCAAATATCAGATCAGTTTCATCCTTATATACACAGATTAAGCTCTTGATGACAGTTTGGTTTTCACTCATGAATGGAAAGGAGAATGTTTTTAAAATAAGCATGAATTAGCAAGAAAAATAAAAGTATCCTAGCTCTCCTTGTGATCAATCCTGGCAAGGTTCTACCTGGCTGAGTTTTAATTTCCTCATCTTTAAAAGGCAGAGATTAGACTAAGTGGTTTCTAATAGCCCCTTCATCACTGAGTACAGGCAGAGGTAGGCTATGATATATATGTGTGAGCTAAACCCAGTTTGTTTGTTTCATAGTGGGCTCTTGACCTAGCCTCTGGGCAACTTAATCAGTTTTCAATAACAGGCACTGACTCTACCCCTCAACTTCCTGTAGTTACTGGATATTTTATATATTTTAAGCATTCACTCTATGAAATGTGTTAATAGGTCAGGTTTTACTTGCTACATTCCAAGATTTTAATTCTGCCATGATGAGCAAATTCTCTGTGACCTTGAAGTAATTGTTCGGGCTCCCACCTAATGATTGTCATCTGAAGATAGTGAAAATGCCTTTCTCATAAGGTCATTGTAAAGATTAAATTTTAGTATACAGAAAGGGCTTAGTAAAGCCCTGCATTTTTATACACTCATTATATGGAAGTAATCTGTCATAAGTACACTGTCTGGCCTGAGAGCGTCCTGGTTCATTTAGAACTCCTTGTTTAGGTACTGCCACATATTAGAACTGCCAAGTTCTAAAATTTTAAAACTCACTAACAGGGGAAAGATAGGGTTAAAATGCAAGTTTTTTTTTTCTAAATTATTTTTTAGTGATGGCCCTATGTTTTTATCTGAGAAAAAAAAAAGTGGAAAGAAAATAAGCATTCCCAAAATACTTTTAAAGGGTGATAGCTTCAGAGATGTCTATAAATTTCTGTCAAATTTTAGAAAATGTGCCTTGATGAAAATTCCCTTCAGTGCAGAATGGTCAAGGTGCTCACACTCTGGTCAAAATCTGTCCCTGTTCTTATTTCCAGGGTGTTACTTGTACATTTATACTCTCCTCATTTATAGACTGAAACATATAGCAGAGCAAGACATGGGAAAGGGATGAGATCTGTAAATAAAATGCTTTAATCTTTGTAATTATCTGAGTTATTAAAGACAGATTTAGGAGGTACCATTCCATAGCAGCTTATTACTGATTTGGAAAATAAATGCTCTGAAATGCATTTCCATTCTGCTTTCTAATGTGATTGTCAGTGTTTTCCCTTTCTTCAATTTGGCTTTTAGTCACAGAGGTGTTGTAAGTGCTAAATGGATTTGTTTAGCAGTCAGATAATGTCACAGTCACACCTTTCAAAAGCAATTTGTCATAAATGATTTTTCAGCAATGGCTTTTATTAGGAGTACTGCTTTGCCAAGCAGTGTAATTAGTAAGCTTGTCAAGGCAGGGTGCAGGCACCATTAATATAACGTGGACTCTGACAATGACTTTTAGCCTTTTAACTCGTAAATATAAGATTAGATCATATTCTTTTATTTCACATCTGTTATAAATATGCTTACCTTAATGAGTGCTGAAATGAGACAGAACTAAATTTCTAATGACTTTGTGTGTGCATGTTTTATTTCGTTTTAAATATTAACACAAATTCCATTGTCCCTCAGAATGATACCTCCTACGAGCAAAACTTTTCTGGTCAATAATCTGGCTGCTGGAACTATGTATGACTTGTGTGTCTTGGCCATATATGACGATGGCATCACTTCCCTCACTGCCACAAGAGTCGTGGGTTGCATCCAGTTCACTACGGAACAAGATTATGTCCGTTGCCATTTCATGCAGTCCCAGTTTTTGGGAGGCACCATGATTATAATTATTGGTGGAATCATTGTAGCGTCTGTGCTGGTTTTCATCATCATTCTAATGATCCGGTATAAAGTTTGTAACAATAATGGGCAACACAAGGTCACCAAGGTTAGCAATGTTTATTCTCAAACTAATGGGGCTCAAATACAAGGCTGTAGTGCAACACTGCCCCAGTCCATGTCTAAGCAAGCTGTGGGACATGAAGAGAATGCCCAGTGTTGTAAAGTTGCCAATGACAATGTGATTCAATCTTCAGAAACTTGTACGAGTCAGGACTCTTCTACCACTACCTCTGCTTTGCCTCCTACCTGGACTTCAAGCACGTCTGTGTCCCAAAAGCAGAAAAGAAAGACTGGCACAAAGCCCAGTACCGAACCACAGAATGAAGCTGTCACAAATGTTGAGTCCCAAAACACTAACAGGAACAACTCAACTGCATTGCAGTTAGCTAGCCGACCTCCTGATTCTGTCACAGAGGGGCCCACATCTAAAAGAGCACATACCAAGCCAAGTAAGTTTCTCACTTTGCCTGCTGAGAGATCCAGAGCGCAGCACAGGTATTCGCTGAGTGGAGAAGTAAAGGAATACTATTGCTTTGCTAATTCACCAAGCACACGTGAACTGTTCTCTAAAAGAAGCATGTCTGTGAATGGGATATTAATTCAGTCTGATGGTTCTGATGGTCCTAGTGGAAAAGTCACTCTTTGAAACTGAGAGGTTATCAGAAAGCTTTGTGTAATCTATTGTTTCTTTTTAATGAAAACTTACTTTGGAAATTGAAATGCAGAATTTCAATCATCTGATAGGCTAGTAGAGCTCAGGTTACAAATACACCATCTAAGATACAGTTATTATGCGTGTCTGTGTGTGCTTGTGTACACACACACACAAATGCTCATACACCTATATGAAAATTACATAGATAAAACGATTTAAAGGGGGGAAACCTGAGATAGCAAGAGTGCCTTCCCCTTTTTTAATACTGGCTTCCAGGTTCTGAGGTAGAAAATGGTAAAATGCAGATTGTTATAAGGAAAAAAAATGTCTTGCATAAAAAATTTTATTTCCTCCAATTCTAAAAATGGCCTCCTGTGGATAACTGGAATTTTTCCATAAGTAGATTTTATATTTTTTACAATGAAAATTGTGTTGTAGAGAACAAGTCTGTGTTGTTGTATTGTTTAAAATAAAATGTTTAATTATTATACCAAGACAATGCTAGAATAAGTACCCTTCTAAATAAGGCTATTGTTTCCTGGTGTCTTGATGGTTATGTCATGCTCATTCCATGACACAGTTTTTTCAGTGGAAAGAATCTTGAATTTATCAGAAAATCCAACCAGTCTTGTGTCACAGGCCATGATTTTGTATGCATCTACCTGGGCATATGAAGATGTTTTCATTCATTCAACACAGTTGCTGAATGAATGTTTTATTATTTTTTAAATGCAAGTTAAAGAGGAGGAGTCAAATATAGGACTGCCTTTATGAAAAGGGTGTTGATTTTTATCACCAAGTGAACTGGAAAACTTCTAATGGAGTTTTCATCACATGTTAAATAACATAAAATATTTGCTCATTAACCAGATAGTGACTTTCCCCCTTTTGCGCTATATAATTCTACATGTGAATGTTTTCCTCTTAAAGTAAATGCATTTATTATTTTGACCAAATGATAAATTTAATCAGATATCGTGGGATTTAGTGAGGAATATACCATTTTTGTAAAGGATTTTAAAGTTAGTCAGAAAATAATATTGTTTCTTAATAACATAGTATTCTTGGAAATTCATTGAAATTAAGATCTGTAGATAAATGTCCTCATCTACTTGTTGGAAAAAAATAATATACTAACATGATGGTGTTTATTAATAATTAATAAGTATTTTGAACATAAAAGTTTTGTTTTCTTTGCTTTTTTGTTTTATTTTCATTTTGTGTTGAAGATATGGTTCATGTGCAAACTTAGACTCATTACCTTGCACAAATGAATATGATATTTCAGCCATTAACACATTCAGTGGGTACTTGATATATACCATATACTCCCTGGGAAGAAGTTAAAATATACAGTAAATGTTTATTAATTCTTTCAAATCATTTGCAATATCATTTAAAGCAAAAGTGCAGAATGTGAAATTATTAGCTTAATTTCCTTCTTGTAGAGACATATACAAAAATTTCAGTTAACTTTTACTCTACAGAGTTGCATCTTATCCTCTGTAATGTATTATTTCGTTGAATGAAGAGTATACACAGATTACTTAGAAATGACTTTTCACACAGTCTTGAACAAAATTGTCCACGTTACATTTCCTAAGTTTCTTTGTCACTTCCCTCTCTGAGAAGTTTGTCTTTCACATTTACAAGGGCTAATTATGATTCAATGTTCTCACAGAAATAGTTCTTTGAGAAATAAATCAGTTCACAGGTATGGTTGTAGTTTGTGAAATCAAAAGCTATAGTCAAAGTGGTCTGTTTTCAAAATTCTTAGGCTAATAAGGTTCTAACTCAACTCTGCATTTTTTAAGTTCACATCAGTTATACTGTTTCTCATGAGATGATGATAATAAACATTAATCTTCCCCTTCACAGATTGATGAGAACAGTATTAAAAGGTCTTTACTGTACAACAGCTTGCAAGCTTTAAAGAAATAAATCCCTAAGGAAACAATTTCTGAAATCTGGAAGGATAAGAAGGGTCTGAGATTATGTAACACAGCAGTTTAGCATACCTTCTCCAAGCTACTAGTGAACTTATTTTATGATTTGCAGTTGCCATCTTTTCAAAAATGAATACCATGCTTGTTTATGTTATAAAGCTTTAATTAAAAACATCTTGTTTCTCATAGATATTTAAAAATTCTATGGCATCTAATCATTTGAATTTTGTTTTGCTTGACGAAAGTCATTGAAAATAATTCAATATTTTATTACTTTTGCTAGACTGTACTCAGATTTTATTAATCAAATGCATTCACATTTTGTCTTCAAAGTGAAGTTTTGGCATCTTTTACTAAAAGTTTATATTTTAAAAGATCAGAAATGATCTATGATAAAAGTCAAGTGTGTTTTATGTTGGTTAACTATATGATGAAATTTTAACTTAGCGAGATGATGAATGCTACCTACTACAATGTCTGAAACAGAATAGTTGTTAAGATGAATGAATGAGCAAATGGATAGATAAAATAAATCAATGGGGCTAGGGAGGGAGGTGATAATAAGAATTTTGATTAATAAGCAAAATGAAGGTTTGTGATCAGATATTATATCACTGCAAAAAAAATAAAATAAAATTTGAGGGGCTGAAAATATTTCTCAGTTGGTACAGTCCTTGCCTCACATCATATACAAGGCCCTGGGTTCATTCCCCAACACCACAGAAAAAAAAAAAAGAGAAAGAAATTCTCTTATATATTTTTTTCAGGTTTTTGTTCTGTTACTTATGGCATCCCTTACTTACTCTGTCATATCCATATATTTATTTATATATGATCTAAATCATGTGGTCTGCTGTTTGTTATTGCTGGCTATATATAGAATTGATATGCTATTTTTATTTCTTTGTCTTTAATTACTTTTAATTTTTAGCCATTTTACATTATCAGCTTATTCAGTGTTAAGTACAGAATTACAAAACACAATGTCTGCCATTAAGCATATTTTAACAGGCATTCATTGTAAACATTTAAAAAAATAATATGGGTCCTATGTTACTTTTGTTCCTTTTGGATAATCATCCTCAAATTGAAAAATACAAAACTACTGTTACAGTAGTGTCATAGGGGTAAAGTACAACCCAAAGTCACCTCAAAATTCCAAAAAGCAGCATTTGGTTTGATGAATATTTTAACTTTTAGGCTTCAAATAGTTTAAAACACAAGATGCTGAATTGAACTATTTAAATAAGATACAGCAACCAGTAACACTGACACTGTGACCAATTTATTTCCTGTAGTTTTTCTAACAATTAATGGAATCAGTTGAGTTCTCAGTATATAGTATTTGATTTAAAACTGTTGATTTTGACTACTTTGCATATTTGTTTTACTAAAAAAGTTTTAGAATGTTTCTAAAGCATTAATAGAATTCTATATATATAAGAAATCTATTCTCTTAAAAATACTTTCTCCACAATTATTTGAAGAACAGCTAAAAATTAAATGTGTTCCATATTTACTTGTCTAAAGGAATATTTGTATTCCCCCCACCCCTTTTGTGAACTATTTGCTCTGATTTAAAACTGTAGTACTTGCTTTCAACATAGTTTCAAATATTTTATTTGCTTTTATTTCTGAAAAGAAACTTCTACTTATATACCTGCAAATAATTAAGAGTAATTATTACAAAATTCATCTTAATTGCCTTTCCATTCATAAGTTTTAGTATTTCTATTCAGTTTGTGTACAGTAATAAACTCCTATAATCTTTAAAATACCAATAATGAAAAAGCCTATAAACATAAAATATCTTCTTTTACATAGAATAATAAAAGCAAATGAGACATTTCTTCAAAGATAACAAATACAAGCCCGTTGTTTTGGTAGGTTTCCAGTTGTATTTAAAAATGCTGGGGTTGGGGTTATGGCTCAGCAGTAGAGTGCTCGCCTCACATGTGCAAGGCCCTGGGTTCAATCCTCAGCACCACATAAAAATAAATAAATAAAAGTTAAAAATAAAAATGCTAAGCCTGGCTTGAGACACATGCCTATAATCCCAGGAGCTCAGGAGGCTGAGGCAGGAGGATCTCAAATCCAAAGTCACCCTCAGCATCTTAGATAGACCCTAAGCAACTCAGTGAAACCCTGTCTCTAAATAAAACATAAAAAGTGGCTGGGGATGTGGCTCAGTGGTTAATTGCATCTGAGTTCAATCCCCAGTACCCCCTCCCCCACAAAAAAAACTAAGTAAACAATGTCCTTTCCTATTTCACAGAATGGGTATGATATGTTATCATCCCCTGTCCAGTGTCTTCTTGGGTCACAAAAGCAGTGCAGTGTTTCCATGGTAACCAAGGATGTTCCTGTGTGAGTGTGGACAGGGTTGACATAATGGTGCATTGGATGGAAGAGTATGATTTTCTTTTCCTCTTAGCTTTTTAATAATGGTAATAATTATAATTTATCTTATGCTATTAGCAACTTTGAATATTTTATGGCAAAGAAATATATCATTCACATTACCTCAAGGACAGACAAAATAATAAAAATCAACAACTGGATTTTTGAAAGTTTCAAAGCTCTGCCTCTCAGATTACTCAATCTTTTCCTTTCCATGTTAGATAAATATATGTTGGAATTATAAATGCAATTAGTTTTGTCAAGTTTTTCTTTGTTCTTTTATTTTTTAAAAGGAAATACTGAATACTTCTAATACTAATGCAGAAGACATTTTAAAATAAAAAGAATGGTAAATATATTCCTGTGATTGAGCCATCAAAAAAATGTGGTGCCATATAAAGTTTGGTTATAAAAAGTAACAGTTTTAACTGGGAATATATTTGTGTTAAATCACTTCATTAAGCAATGCTAATACATTTATAATTCTATCAAATGTTACAAATAATCAATACAACAAGATATTCAGTGTACCACTCTGCCTACTAATTATGTTCAACTATTCCTAAGTAAAATTTTACAATCTAAAGTTAACATTAAATAAATATATATATTCTTTATATGTATAAATCTGTATATATACTCTGTAATACATATGTACTCTGGATAAGAGTCATGTCTCTTAATTGTATATCTATGATAACATACACATAGATATACAATAAATTATTTAAAAGCACAATGTTTTTCATGTAATATCAATTTGTTATTTTGTGATTGATAAGATGAAATTAGATTTAAACTGCCTATCATAGATCTTCTCCGGGAAAATCAAGTAAATTGTAATTTATCAGATAATAATGGTCTAGAAACTCTCCAGTACAAATTTATTATTTTAAATTTCCCAATGATAACCATATCTACCCAGTTTCACCCATTCTTTTCAAATCAGTAACTCATATTTGTGAATTTGAAAAATGAGAAAGAATATATATTTCAAATAGATTCAGGAGAAAGTCATGGAGGCCTTTTCACTTAATGTACGTGGAGTTCGAAGTGTTTGTACATTTAACTAACAATAGGCTGTAGATATAATGATGCTCCAGATTATATCCAAAAACAATTTTATTAAGTGATAGAGTCTATGAGATATGTTTGTAGGCTCTACCATAATCAAATTCCCTAATCATTTGTTCTCCATCATTTGGATATCTCTTATTATTGCTTTCATGAGAAACTTAATCACCAATGGCCATTGTAAATTTACATGGTTATTTGTGGAGATTTGTAAGAAAATATTTTGTCCTAGTCTCATGGTACTCATCTGTGAATCCTGACAATGACTGTCCTCTTAGACACCTAGATTTTCTTATCCTTGCACCACTTCCAAATGATTAGTAGCATTTGCATAAAGGAAGATATTTTGAAAAGAAACAGAATGTATGATATTCAGGATTGTATGATGGTTAAACATTTATAGGTAATAGGTATAAACATATGGATATAAATGCAGAATGTTTGCATATAGCACATTACTTTTGCATAAAAATGAATGGATTCTTGACAAAAATGTGCTATTGTTTGGAGAGTGGATATTAAAAGATGGTTAATATTGTTTAATTTTATATTCTGTGTGGTCAATATAGCTGAACTGTATTACTGTTGTGGAATATTTTTTCCTTGATGCAAGTTTCCATGTTAATCATATGCAACCATAGATTTGAAAGACTAACTCTGAGCAGAGAAAAATGAATAGAAACTTGATTTTCTTGTATAACAAATATTCCCTATTGAAAATTATTCATTGTAGTTACTAGAACAATATATTTTGAAATTCTGCTTTAATAGTACTATGGTGAAGGAAATAGCCAAAAAGAAGTCTAAAATACAAGAGTCATTTGCAACTAACCCAGTAAGAGTTAAGACAATATAAATCAATCTTCAAGAGAAGTTACCAAGATTTCAGTGAGGAAGGTTTTAAAGGACTGTTTCTTTAAAAAAAAAAAAAATTGATTTGTTCATGACACTGAAAATTTTATTCCCAGATGCTTTGCTGACTAATGTTGACCAGAATGTCCACGAAACACAGGTGAGAATCTTATTACCTGTAGCATACTTCAACCCTTAAGTGGATTTATTATTTTAAAGCTGAATTTTCTAACTTTTGGCTTGGTAGTTTATGTAGCTTGTCAAAAATTTTCCATTAAAAATTTTATTACATGTCTGATTCACACTGTAATAAACAAAAGTATTACTAATACTGCTTCACTCTTGTAGTTATGCATGATATAATTGATATTTTTTTACAGATATTTCCAAACATGCAGACAGTAACTTGATAAGAATGAATTTGCTCCTATCCTTGACCTCCATGTCCTGAGAGGAGGTAAAAGGATACATTATACTTCATTGAAAATGGATGAACACAAGTGTTTTGCTGTTATCTAAAATGAATGAAGCCACTTTAAAGTGGAGCAAAATACTACACATGAAATATTCATGGTATTCCTTTTGTCAGCAACCAATTACTCTTCTTGAGGGTTTTTTTTTTTTTCATTTTGGAAGTTTCAAATGAGTATTTGATTCCTGCATTTTAATTGGATCAGAAAGTGTGTTTCCAGAGCAGAATAGCACTTAAGCAATCTGTTCAAACAGCTGGAAGCATCAGACATTTGTTTGAGGTTTGGCACAGGAAAAAAAAAATATTGTTTTTATAAGTCTTAAAAAGGTCATTGATTTATTTGTTGGTAGTAAAAATAGGGTCTTGTTTTTTAACATTTCATATTTTAAAAGCAATAATTTGGTCAATGTTAGTTTTCCCTACAGCATTCCAGCCCCACATCAAATAAAAAGTGTTTATGCTTCATTTCTTCACTGAATTTAAGATCCCATTTTTACCTCGCAGAAAAAGAACAGATGGCTCACTGGAAACAATCAATAGTACACTGTCGGGTACATGCTCTGTGTTCTGTGTGTACTGAATTGAACTGCATGAAGGTGCCTTCCTTTAACAACACCTTTTATCTGAACCTCTGTCTCCCCTATTCTCTGTCTCTGTTTCTTTGTCTCTTCCTCCACTTTTCTTCCGTTTCTGTCTCTCATCTTTAAAAATTCATTTATTATGTGATTTGGACAGCCAGCTGAGCTGAAAGTTATGATACTTTCAGAAAGGTATTAGGAAGTAGAACATAAATCTAATGAGAAGTATAATTCAGAACATTTCTAAGATATTCATAATTCATGGATTATATTATATATTATTGTGCTTGTGTATTTTACCATATTATTAGGAAGTAAATTTTGTTCTTTCGTGCGAATGCACCTCCATTGCTAGAGATAGCACAAGATTTGACAATGTGATAAATACATAAATATTTTGTGATGACTTTCATCCCACAATACCTAGTATTAATTATAGAACACTGGAAAATATATTCAAAAATAAGATGTAATATAAACTAATCATAATCTACCACTAACATACAAGTTATAATAATCTAAGGTTTAATTTTCAAGTGACTAACTCTTTCACTCTAAAGTGAACTCATGTTATGTGTATTGTTTGTATTGTGTTAGATATTCTTTGTATCAGACTGTTTATGTATGTATGTATGTGTGTGTATGTGATATGTCATCTTTTTAAAACTGTATACTGAGTTCTTCCTCAGCCCTTTACATAACAAACTGCTATTACAATATAATGGAAATTTCCATTTCATAATTTTATAATTTTCCTCTTTTTTTCCTATAAGTATTAGCAAGGAAAACAAATTCATAGAAAAAGTAATTCTGAAAAAATTTAGTGTCAGTACATCATCACTGGTTGGGCAACTCTTGCTACATTACTGTTATCAGATTGAAGTTACTTTATGACCTCAACCTAGGAATTCTTGGTGTTTGGTATGTGATTTCTGGTCCTGTTAGCAGGACCAGTGGTGCTCCCTCTGAAGGAACTGCCCTGTGTGCTTTCTTTCTTCTTATAACCTTTTGCACTCTCAGCAGCATTTTTACTGTGTGAATGAAAAGCAGAAGAGTGCTGGCAAAGACCCTTTGTAATCACAGCTTCTCAGCTCTGTATTTTCTGTAGCTTTCATACTGAGGTGCCAGCTAAGGTGAATCTTTTCCCAATTGAATAAAGTTGAAAAAGTTATTTCAATTCCATTTTCCAGAATATGCCCTATTCTGATTTTCTACTTCATGTGCCTTCCTAAATATGGATAGAAATAAAATAAGCTTGAAATATTTCAATATAACATACATGATTATTCTGTAATAAAATCCTAAGATTCTAATCACACTAAGAGAAATCAGAAACAAAGGAGAAAGGAATTACTGGTAAAATTAATGATGATGACTCTACACATAAACTGGCCCTTAAATATAATCTTAAGTTTAGCAAAGATTTTTATTGTTAAGAAGAACTAAATGAGACGAGAATTATGCCATGTTTAGCAACTGACATACGAACAATTGACTAGTTTGCATTTATACTGAAAATGTCTTTCAGTAAAATTTCTTAAGTATTTGCTGAGCCAGTTATTGGGATGCATACCTGAAATCTCAGCTACTAAGCAGGCTAAGGCAGGAGGATCACAAGTTCAAGGCTAGCCTTGGCAATATAGAAAGGCCTTGGCAATGTAGAAAGACCTTGTCTAAAAAAAAGTAAAATTAAAGGAGTGGGGGGTGGAGCTAGCTCAGTGTTAGAGTGCCCCTGGGTTCAATCCACAGTACCAAAATAATAATAATAATAATAATAATAATAATAAGAAGAAGAAGAAGAAGAAGAATTATTTTCTGTATTCAAACCAATAAAATACATATTGTGCTTGTGTGTTTGTGTGCTTGTAAATCTGCAGAAGAATATGACATGTTCTAGTTATTTGTACCAGTATGTACAGTGTTTGATCTTTTTCTTTCTTTCTTTCTTTCTTTTTTTTTTTTTTT